CACGGTATGGTGTTAGAAATATCATGTTATGAATATAGTGACGGTACATATAAGTGTGTGTATACGCTAAACAGAACTAAAACACACCGAGCCACGCATCACACACACACGTTGAAGACCAAGACACACTACAGCAGTTATAATGAACATAAGCACCACAATTATATGAAGAGGAAATTCAATAAAGTTGCTTCTCTATCAATATGAAGAACAAAACAACAACGAGTATATCATAAAGAGTTATAATATAAGCATTAACAATATAATATAAAAACAATAACAGCTATGAATTAAATAAATAAACGGAAAAATAATCAAGTGCTGGCAACCCTTTCCCTCTGACCATCGCTAACCACCTACCCTCCCTACCTTGATTTTGTGTACTTCCTCTCTGAATTAACCATTCTCGATACCTGCAAAACCCATCGGTCATTCTCTCCTCTGCAATCGGACGCATATCCAATGCTATGAGCCTCTTCGTTCTTCTCATCTTTTATTTCTTTTTATTTTATTTTTTTATACTTNCATATGGGGCTCTTTGTTGACCTTGTCTGAGGTACATGGCTCTTGTTGACCTTGTCTGGGAGGTCATTGGCTCTTTGTTGACCTTGTCTGGGAGGTCATTTGGCTCTTTGTTTGACCTTGTCTGGGAGGTCAAGTGGCTCTTTTGTTGACCTTGTCTGGGAGGTCAATGGCTCTTTGTTGACCTAGTCTGGGAGGTCATTGGCTCTTTGTTGACCTTGTTGGGAGGTCATTGGCTCTTTGTTGACCCTTGTCTGGGAGGTCAGTGGCTTCCCTTGTCTGGGAGGTCATTGGCTCTTTGTTGACCTTGTCTGGAGGTCATTGGGCTCTTTGTTGACCTTGTCTGGGAGGTCAGTGGCTCTTTGTTGACCTTGTCTGGGGTCAATGGCTCACCTTGTCTGGGATGGGCTCTTTGTTGACCTTGTCTGGGAGGTCATTGGCTCTTTGTTGGCCCTTGTCTGGGAGGTCATGGCTGCTCTTTGTTGACCTTGTCTGGGAGGTCATTGGCTCTTTGTTGACCTTGTTTGGGAGGTTGGAACTGTTGACCTTGTCTGGAGGTCATTGGTGAATTGGCTCTTTGTTTGGGAGGTCATTGGCTCTTTGTTGACCTTTTTGGGAGGTCATTGGCTCTTTGTTGACCTTGTCTGGGAGGTCATTGGCTCTTTGTTGACCTTGTCTGGGAGGTCAGTGGCTCTTTGTTGACCTTGTCTGGGAGGTCATTGGCTCTTTGTTGACCTTGTCTGGGAGGTCATTGGCTCTTTGTTGACCTTGTCTGGGAGGTCATTGGCTCTTTGTTGACCTTGTTTGGGAGGTCATTGGCTCTTTGTTGACCTTGTCTGGGAGGTCATTGGCTCTTTGTTGACCTTGTCTGGGAGGTCATTGGCCCTCCTTGACCTTCTCCTCTCTCTCTCTCTCTCTCTCTTCCCTTGCGTTTCTCTGTAGGAAGAAATATTTTTATTACTGTTTTTATAGAAAGAGATGGATAGATATAGATATGGGTGTATATATAAAGTAAATGGATATAGATATAGATAAAGATATAGATATAAATATAGATATATACACAAATCTATACAGATATAGATCCTTAATATAGATATAGATATAAATATATATATAAAAGATTTTAGATCCTTCCCCCTTCCCCCCCCTCCCTCCCTTCCTCTCCCTCCACCCCTCCCCTCCCTCCCTTCCCCTCCCTCCCCCCCCCATGCCCCCCGCAGGAGCAAAGGGACATCCCTCCCTCCACCCGCCTACCCCTTCCCTCCACCCCTTCCCCACGACCCCCCTCCCCCCCCCCGCCCCGCAGGAGCAAAGGGACATCCCTCCTTCCCTCCCCCCCCCCCGGCGTTAATCTCCGACCCGCGCGCCTCGAGAAACCCTCCAAGACGCCCGCCGGAGGAACCTACTCCGCGAGAGCCACAGGTGGTCGCGGCGCCCCCCCCCTCCTCTCTCACGCCCACGCCCATCACTCGCACGCGGCCGCTCTATTGAGGCGTCGGGGGGGGGGGGGGGGCGCTGTGTCACGCCCACACACGCGGACGTACGGAGAGGTTTGTGTATGCGGGCGTGCGGGCGTCAGGGAATCTATACGTATTTGCATTCGTGTATACATAGACTGACGTCAGGCGTGTGTGGTTGTGTGTGTGTGGGGGGAGAAGAAATGGTGATTACGCTTATATGCATACTTCTATCTCTCTCTCTCTCTCTCTCTCTCTCTCTCTCTTTCTTTCTTTCTTTCTTTCTTTCTTTCTTTCTTTCTTGTCTTCTCTCTCTCTCTCTTCTCTCTCTCTCTCTCTCTCTCTCTCTCTCTCTCTCTCTCAGATATTGAGCGGATTTCGAGTCACTACAGTCACTAGAGTAAATTTACATATCTCTATCTATCTGTCTATCTTATTATCTATCCATCTATATATATATATATATATATATATAATATATATATTATATATAATATATATATATATATATATATATATATATTTATATATATATTATATATTATATATATATATATATGTAAATCTGTTATCTATTTATTTATCTATTTATCTATCTATCTATCTATCTATCTATCTATCTATCTATCTATCTATCTTATCCATCTATCTATCTATCTATCTATCTATCTATCTATTTATCTATTTATCTATTTATCAATCTATCTATCTATCTATCTATCTATCTATCTATCTATCTATCTATCTATCTATCTATCTATTATCCATCTATTTATCATCTATCTAATCTATCTATCTATCTATCTATCTATCTATCTATCTATCTATCTATCTATCTATCTATCTATCTATCTATCTATCTATCTATCTATCTATCTATCTATCTATCTATCTATCTATCTATCTATCTATCTATCTATCTATCTATATGTGTGTGTGTGTGAATGAAAACATAACCGCATACCCCCTTGTCTGGGTCAGATATTGAGCCTCCAACACCTCGATGAATAAGTGAAGAGAATGAATTAAAAACGCCACGAAGAAGGATGAATAAGCATGCAATATATGGCATAGTTTAGAGTCGTATCGAAAATGGAATTATTATGGTTGTCGAAGCGTCGCTGTCCGAAATAGAACATATGAATTATTCCGTGTTTAAAAGTATTCGATTTTGGCGCCAAAAAAAAAGAGGGGAGAGGAATGTTGTGAGTCTGAGTGGGTGTGTGTTGTTTTGTGTGTGTGTGTGTGTGTGTGTGTGTGTGTGTGTGTGTGTGTGTGTGTGTGTGGTGTGTGTGTTGTGTGTGTGTGTGTGTGTGTGTGTTTGGGTCTGTGTCAGCGGATGTGTAGTCGTGTGCGTGTGTGTGTTGTGTGTTTTTTTTGTGCGAGGATGCATGTGTGAGTGGGAGTGTGTGTTTGCTTGCTTGTTTGTGTGCGTGCGTGTGTGTGTGTGTGTGTTTGATGCGGGAATGCGTGTCTGAGCGTGTATGAACATGTGTTTGTTTGTTTGCGTGCGAATGTGTGTGTGTATGTGATTACAAAATCATGAAAATTTAAGACAAAATCTCAAACATTTGTTCAGAGAAAGTATGTGAACGATTTTATATTTTCTTTTCATAATTCCTTTTTCCTTCTCGTTCTTACAAAGTTCTTATTTCTATTTTTCATGTTGATTCTCGATTTCTTCTTTCCCTCCCCTTTCTCTGTCCTTTGTCGTCCTATGTTATTTTCCTTTCTTTATTCCTTTTTTTTCTGCCGCTCTCTCTCTCTCTCTCTCTCTCTCTCTCTCTCTCTCTCTCTCTCTCTCTCTCTCTCTCTCTCTCTCTCTCTCTCTCTCTTCTCTCTCTCTCTCTCTCTCTCGCTCTCTCTCTCTCTCTCTCTCTCTCTCTCTCCATCTCTCTCTCTCTCTCTCTCTCTCTCTCTCTCTCTCCTCTTCTCTCTCTCTCTCTCTCTCTCTCTCTCTCTCTCTCTCTCTCTCTCTCTCTCTCTCTCTCTCTCTCTCTCCTCTCCTTCTCTCTCTCCTCCCTCCCTCTCTCTCTCTCTCTCCCTCTCTCCTCTCTTCCCTCTCCCTCCGTTTTCCTCTTGACATCCTAACTATCGCAGTGCATTGTTCCCTCTTAATTGCTAGTCCTTTTGTTCACAAGGGATAACATTTATGTTTTTGTTCCCCCATGCGTCCACATAGCTAAAAATAGACGAGCCAGATTTGCTACACACACTGTGGTTATTATAAACGCCATGGATTTATCGGCAATAAACATATGTAGCTGTGAGAGGATTTTATTGTTTACTTTTTAGGGGTAACTATGCTATTTTGAGTGATTGGTGGTCGTGGTGAGTTCCTCGAATTTGGGTTGTTTTTTGGGTTGTTGTTGTGATTGTTTGTTTGTATTGTGTGTTTGTTTGTGTTTGTTTGCGTGTGTGTGTGTGCGTGTGTGTGTGTGTGTGTGTGTGTGTGTGTGTGTGGTGTGTGTGTGTATGTGTGTGTGGTGTCTGTTTATGTTTTGAGCTTGTGTGTGTTTGCGTTTGTGTGCGTACATGAATATGTGTGTATATTTCTGAAATATATATTTTCGTACTTCCTGTCGCTGACTTTTGCGAATCGATTTAATAACTTATCACAAAACCTTGATCATCATAATTTCTATTTCTAAAACCTAGCGTCCAATTTTCTTACAATTTATGAATATCAAATTTGAGTAAAAAAAGAAAAAAAAAAAACACATTTAAGCTATATGAACAAAAAGCAAGTTATTTTTCTTTAATAGGGAGGTGGGGATGAGGAGGGGGGAGGGGGAGGAGGGGGGTCATAATTGGTAATCATCAATTAGGGAGCAAGGATGTCTCTTAAGTAGGCCTTTCCACTTCAATTGGAAGTGAGTTGGGCCATGTGCTGGCTGGTATGTGGGGGGATGGGTATGAATGTATGTGGAGTTATGTGGAGATGAATGTGAGTGTGTGTGGGGTATGTGGAGTTATGTGGAGGATGAATGTGGGGTATGTGGAGGATGAATGTGGGGTATGTGGAGTTATGTGGAGGATGAATGTGGGGTATGTGGGAGGATGAATGTGGGGTATGTGGAGTTATGTGGAGGATATGATGTGGATATGTGGAGTTATGTGGACGATGAATGTGGAGTTATGTGGAGGATGAACGTCGGGTATGTGGAGATATGTGGAATATTAATGTGGATGAATTTGGAGGTATGGATTTAAGAACTGTTAATGCATGAAAGTGAATGTGAAAGATGGATGTGGAGATATGTAGAGGATATATATTGAGGTATGTATAGGGTGAATGTGGACGTATATGATGATTGGATGTGGTAATATGTGGAGTTATGTGGAGGATATATATGTGCGTATGTGGAGGTGTGCAGAGGATGGATGTGGAGTATGTGGTGACTGCATGTGGGTGCGTGATGTGGAACTATGATGCACTCACTTTTAGGGGAATGTTGACGGTTTTAATTGGCTAGAATTCACTCATTCTTTTCAAATATTTGGCATAACGCAACATTTTATTTTCGAGAACTACATTTTTTTTTTTTTTTTTTTTTTTTTTTTTTTTTTTTTTTTTTTTTTTTTTTTTGAAATTCCGTCATGTACATTTCTGAACGGAAAAATTTATCCGGTTCATTTGTTTATTAATGTTCCTAGTATTTCGTTTTATGCCTTTTCCATCGTTTTTTTTTTTACGTTTTTTTCTTTTTTCCTTTTTTTTTCTTCTTCTTCTTCTTCTTCTTTGATTTTTTTCTTTCATTCCTCCATCTTCGTCTTGAAATTCTTCCATCTTTATTTTTGACATCAGTTAGGCCAATTAGTTCTTTTTTTTTAAGTAGGCCTACTACAACCTCACGTTTTTCCCCTTTTTTTTTTTTTTTTCTTCTTCTTCTTTGTTTCTTTCTTTTATTCCTCCATCTTCGTCTTGAAATTCTTCCATCTTTATTTTTACATCAGTTAGGCCAATTAGTTTTTTTTTTTTTTTTATTTTTTTTAAGTAGGCCTACTACGTTTTGCATCACTTTATATCTACGATCGAAGAGAATTTGCATCACACAATTTGCATCTTATCATGACGTCATTTCATCAAATTCCCTTAATTATAAAACAACCTTGCATCCCATTAGACCAAAGATATCTGCATCGTAACTTACGATCGTATCATAACCTTGCATCGCACGATAATAATTGTATCTCAGCACATTACTTTACAATCCCATCACAACCTTAAATTACAACGGATCAGAAATTTGCTCCACACCACACCTTGCCTCTCTTCACATCACAACCTCACATCATAACCTTGCATCTTAACCCATTTCTCTCCTCATCTTATCCCATTTATCTCACCTTTTCCCATTTCCCTCCCCATCTTATCCTATTTATCTCATCTTATCCCATTTCCATTTTCCTCCTCATATTTTCCCATTTATCTCCTTTTATCCCATTTCCCCTCTTATCTTATCCTAATTATCTAATTTTACCCATACCATTTTCCCCTCATCCAATTTCTCTCCTCCTCCTCCTTCTTTTCCTCCTCATTTTATCCCATTTCTCCCTTCATCTCATCCCAATTTCTCTCCTCCTCCTTTTCCTCCTCATCTTATCTTTTCCTCCTCATCTTATCTTTTCCCCTTCATTCTCATCCCAATATCATCCTCCTCCTCCTTTTTTCTCCTCATTTTATCCCACTTTCCCTTCATCTCATCCATTTCTCTCCTCCTCTTTCTTTTCCTCCTCATCTAATCCCATTCCCCCCCTTCAATCTCATCCCCATTTCTCTCCTCCTCCTCCTTCTTTTCCTCCTCATTTTATCCCACTTCCCCCTTCAATCTCATCCCCATTTCTTCTGCTCCTCCTCCTTCTTTTCCTCCTCATTTTATCCCCATTTTCTCCTTCATCTCATCCCAAATTCCTCTCCTCCTCATCCTCCTCCTCTTTTACTCCTCATTTTATCCCATTTCTCCCCTTCATTCTCATCCCATTTCTCTCCTCCTCCTTTTCCTCCTCATCTTATCTTTTCCTCCTCATCTCATCCCAATTTCTCTCCTCCTCATTTTATCCCATTTCTCCCTTCATCTCATCCCAATTTCTCTCCTCCTCCTCCTCCTCATTTTTATCCCATTTCTCCCTTCATCTCATATCCCATTTCTCTCCCTCCTCCTTTTCCCTCCTCATCTTATCTTTTCCTCCTCATCTTATCTTTTCCCCCTTCATCTCATCCCCATTTCTCTGCTCCTCCTCCCGCAGGAAGATACCGACCTGGCCTACTGCCGAACCGGATCCGTCTGCGGGTACCTTCAGGTCAACGTCTACGGGGTCAACGCCAAACAATTTTGCCGATGCCCGAGCATAGCTGGGGCATGCGGCCTCCACTGGGACCCTCAAGACGGCCGCTCAGTCACCATGGGGTCGGAGCAGTTCAAGGTAGGTCAATGAGGGGGGGGGGGGGTTTATGTGGGTGGGTGGGAGGGAGTTGCGGTGGGTGGGTAGGTGGTCAAGGTAGGTCAAGTGAGGGGGGTTTAGTGTCGTGGAGGTGGGTGGGTGGGGTAGGGTTCAAGGTGGTCAATGAAGGGGGGTTTTAATGTGTCGTGGGGTGGAGGGGGTGGGTGGGTGGGTAGGTTCAAGGTAGGTCAGTGAAGGGGGTTTTATGTGTGGGGGTGGGAGGGGGTGTGGGTGGGTAGGTTCAAGGTAGGTCAAGGAAGGGGGTTTTTATGTGTCGTGGGAGGGGGGTGGTGGCGTGGGGGTTGGGGTGGGGGTGTAGAGGTGTTGGGGTATGTGGGGGTATGGGGGGAGGGGGGTGATTTTTCGTTATTATGTTGTTGTTTTTGTTGTTATTGTTATGATTATTGTTATTATCATTATTATTATTAATAACTACTATTGTTATTGTTATTATATTATTATTATTATTAATTATTATTATTATTATCATTAGCATTAATATATATCATTATTATTATCATTATTATCATTATCATTATCATTATTATCATCTTTATTATCATTATTATCATCTTTATTATCATTATTATTATCACATGTTGTTGTTGTGTTGTTGTTATTTTTGTTTTATTATCCTTATTATTATCATTATCATTATTATTATCATCATTATTATCATTATCATCAGTGACTACTTATTTGTTTATCTTTTATTTACACATCCATCTATTTGTTTATTTTCTTATTCTTGTTCATTCTAGGGTGGGGTGAGAGAGGTAGTATGAATCTTTATTTCTTTTAAGATAATACCATTTTTTTTTTTTAAGGAGTGGTATGAATTAGGATTTGGCAATAACACATTTTTCTTTTTAAAATAATATGGGAATCATGCACAGAGCCACTCCCTTTTTGCATGCTGAAATTACCACAAAAAATCCCTTTGCTTTGCCCCCAAAATCCGAATTACTTTCCTTGTCATGAATTCACAATCTCCACTATGACAGGTTCCATTCATAAAAAAAACAACTCTTCGAAGTACACGCCCACTGGTCCTCTCTGCCACGCCCATTTTCCATTCTCACGCCCACACGAGGACTGACCGTTCTCTGGCTTCTGTGGATACGCTTGGGCCTCACCTTTCACTCCAACTCTCCCTCTCTCTCTTTCTCGCTTCTTTCTCTCCTTTTCTTCCTCTCTCTTCTCTCTCTCCTCTCTCTCTTCTTTTTCTTCTCTCTCGTCTCCTCTCTTCTTTTCTTTCTCTTCTCACCTTCTTCTTCTTTCCCTCTCTCTCTCTTCTTCCCTCTCCCTCCCTTCTCTCCCTCTCTCTCTTTCCTTCTCTTCCTCTCTCTCTCCTTCTTCTCTCCCTCCCTCTCTCTCTCTCTCCTTCTCTCCCTCTCTCTCTCTCCCTTCCCCTTCTTCACATACCCAATCTTCTATTCGCATCTACTTCTCCCTCCCTCCCATTCTCCCTCCTTCCATCCCTCCCTCTCTCTCTCTCTCCTTCTTCATATACCAAATCATCATCGATTTGCATCTATTCCTCCCTCCCACACACACCTAATATTTTCCTCTTCCTTTCTCCCTCCCTCCCTCCATTCCATACACACGATCTTTCCCTCCTCTTCCTTTCCTCCCTCCTTCCTTCCCTCCCTTCCTCCCACACACACAATCTTTCCTTTCCTCTTTCCCTCCCTTCTTCCCTCCTTCTAACACCGACACCTCATTTCTCCCTCCACTTTCCCTCCCACACACACGCCTACCCTCTCTCTCCCCTTCCCCCTCCCCATACACTTACCCAATCTTCCCCTCCCCCCCCCTCCCCCTCCCCCTCCCTCCAAGACGCTTCTGACGGGTAAACTTCAATAATCCCAATCTCCCACCTCCTCTCCTTCCCTTTCCCCCTTCTTTCCCCTCTCCCTCTTCCCTCTTCCCCTCTTAAAGACGTTTGAATTTGTAGGACTTCCTTAAGAGAGATTTGAGGCGTGGCAAAAAAGGTAGGAAGGTAGGAGGGAGGGGAGGGAGGGGCAGGGGAGGGAGAGGAAGGAGTAGGGAGGGACTAGGGGTGGGGGGGAGACTCTCTTTTACGCCTCTCATAAAAGGGGGGATGAGGGATAGGAGGGGAGGGGATGAGGGATAAGAGGGGGGAGGATGAGGGTGGTGTAAGGAAGTCCTTTGCTCTTTCTCATAAACTAATTCCGGATGAGGAGGAGCGAGATCTGTCTAAGCGGGGCTTCCCTTTTTCCCGCGCTCTGATTTGCCGATCAAGCGAAAGAGAGAGAGACCCCTAGGTTATCTTTTTTTCGTCTTTTTTATTTTTCTCTAGAGACCCATGGGTTATCTTTTTTTCATCTTTATTATTATTATTCTTTCTTGACTCGTTTTTTCATCGTCAAGATAGGGTTTTAATGAAAAGTTTTCATTTTATTTAATTAATTTATTGAATTTTTTCGATTTTATTTTCCGTTTGTTTCCATCGTCGATGAAGAAAAAAAAAAATTTAATGCCTAGATTTATTTGCAAGATTTGGGGGTTGTATTTGTTATCATTATCATTTCCATAATTGTAATTGATATATTGTTATTTTCATTGCGTTTTTTATCATTACTATCTTTATCACCATTATAATTAGTTTTTTTCTTTCTATTTTGATGTGTTTTTACTGATTGGAGTAATCATCAGTATCAAATTTGAATTACAACAACCACCAAATTCTTTTTTGAATTCATACTTCCATGGCTGTGATTTTTATTTATACGAAGGTCGGTTAAAATGAATAGATAAAATCCCTACATGGCAACTCGATCGGCTTATCACCTCCAACCGTCATAAAAATGGACAAAAAATACTGTTTGAACAGACATGTATATATACATATATATAATATATATAATATTATATATATATATAATATATATATATATATATATATATATATATTATATATATACTACACACACACACACACACACACACACACACACCACACCACACACACACACACACACACACACACACACACACACACACACACACACACACACACACACACACACACACATACACATACACATCACATATACACATATATCACATTTCTTTAGTGTATATATATCTATACTTTCCTCGGGGCCCGATTCGAAATCTTTCACAAAGGATTTTACTCAATCTGTTTGGTGAATTGGTAAGATTTTTTATTTTTTTCAATTTTCCTTTTTTTCAAATTCGAAAAGTGCTCTTCGACGCAATAATTCCCGTTTCATCTAAATCTTTTGCAATCCTTTTTTTGAAAGCATTTTGCCGCCAACTCTTGCAATTTTTTGGCGGGAAAACTAAAACTAGATTAGATTTTGTTTTTATTTTCATCATTATTTTTTTCTCTCTCTCGTTCTCACTTGTTTTTATTTAAATATATAAACACATGTGAACAAATTTCATGAATTAAATTTGCGTATTTATATCAGAGGGTTTAGAAATAATTATGTAAATAGGTAAATAAGAATAATTATGATACAATAATACACAAACAATGTATTATTGATGACGTTATGGAATTGTTAATAGATAGATAGATGTTATAGGAATAGATTGATAATGCGTAATGGTGACAGGTTGATTTGAAAATAGTCATATGACAGAATCTATTTTCTACTTGACAAGCCTGTAGGATACAAGCTCACACATATACATACGTATACATATATACACACAAATAGACACGTATTCTCTCTCATACATACATATTATCTCTCTCTCTCTCTCTCTCTCTCTCTCTCTCTCTCTCTCTCTCTCTCTCTCTCTCTCTCTCTCTCTCTCTCTCTCTTCTCTCTCTCTCTCTCTCTCTCTCTCTCTCTCTCTCCTCTCCCTCTCCCTCCCTCTCTCTCCCCCACACACACAAACGCACATACTTCCCTCCCCCCCAAAAAAAAACACCTATTGTACCCCCCACCCAAAAAAAAAAAAAAAAAAAAACCATTCTAACCACGCCCACCCCCCCGCCCCTTATCTCCCGCCCTCCAATTCTAACCACACACTCATCCCCCCCCCCTTTCTATCTCCCGCCCTCCAGTTCTGTGGACCCCCGCCGCCCCTCCACGTCTGCGGGCGTGACGAACCAGCTTACTCCGCCGCCTTCATCTTCGACAGCGCCACCTTCTCGATGTCGGGAGAACAGCACCGCCTCCACTGCTACTGCCCGCCGCCCATGACCCACGTGCGGGCGGATGTGGTCGAGGACGTGGTCGACGGGGAGCTCATCATGGCCACGGTGCACGCCTGCTCGAGGGTGAGTGGGGCGTGGGTTGGGTGAGGGGGTGGGAAGGGGGAGGGGTGAGGGGTGGGATGGGGGGGGTGGGGTAGGGGGGGAGGGGGGAAGAGGGGGAGGGGGAGGGTTGGGAGAGGGGGTGGGAGGGGGAGGGGGTGAGGGAAGGGGGGGATGGGATGGGATATGTGTGTGTTTGCTTGTTATATTTCATTATTATCATCATCACTGTAACTGTTGTTGATGTAGCTGTCATTACTTTACTTACAACCATCATTAACTAAACCAGTGTTGTCCAATTTTCGCCTATTGTACCCTATTGCACTGCAGGACTGTTGGTCAATAAATAAGAATTGAATACACGAATAAAAAAACGATTTAATAACAATATGCTTGAAATATACTTACACAACTTAATGTGAGATGTGAGGTATGTGTGTTCCTTGTTTGTTCACGTACCCTTATGATCTATGTTGCGTAATCCCACTGAACTAAACAATCAATTATCCATGTCATCATTATGATCATCCTTCAATATAATCCACATAATCAACATCAACAGAGTTTTAGTGACGAAAGAGAAATAATGTAAGTGAATAAATAAACATGAAATCAATAAAATCAGTAGAATAAACAAAATAAAAAAGATAAAAAAGATAAACACAATAAATATGATAAGTGAAATAAACAAACTAAACGAGAAAAACAAGAATACACAAAATAAGAAAGAAAACTAAACAAATAAATAAAAATTAAAAAATAACATCTCACACTCCTCAGGAACTTCATTTCATAACTCATTCCCTCTCATTCACGAATTTCCTGACTGACTTTCTCTCTCTCTCTCTCTCCTTTTCTCCCTCATAACTCATTCCTCCCATTTATAAATTTCCTCTCCTTTCCCCCTCCAGCTGCCGGCGTGCACAGAGGAGACACCGTGCAAGGAGGTGACCATCGCCTCTGGCACGGCCCTAGTGTACCCGAAGTGCCGGTGCCCCAGAGAGTTCTCGTGCCCGACCCTTGGCACCTCCGTCACCCCACACACCAACAACTACCCTGGGGGCTCAGCATACTCCGTTTTCTGCCAGAGTCGCTTCTAATCATTTATCTTTTTTTTTGGGGGGGGGGGGGGGTGTGATTAGGCACGTCTAATCACGTCTTTTTGGGGGTGATTGGGTGATTATTTTTTTCTTTCTCTCTCTGTCGAATCTCGTTTCTATTTTGTGATCTTTCTCATTTTTTCTCTCTCTCTTTTTGTGGTATTTCTGTTTTTCTCTTTTGTGGTCTTTCTCATTTTTTTTCTCTTTTGTGAATTTTCTCTTTTCTCTTTTGTGGTCTTTGCGGTTCTCTGCTCGGTGTTTGTTTGTTTTTTAGTTGTCTGGGATCTGTATATTTAGTTGTTTTATTTATTTATTTATTCGCTTGTCGATTTATTTATTTGTTTGTATGTTTTGCTCCCCTGTTGTTCCCTTTTGCACGATTTTTTTTCATTCCTTATCTTTTCTTTTCCTTCATGTCATTTATTTATCTTGTCCGTTTTAGTTCCTCTCCCCGTCTCTTTCCTCTATGATTTATCATTTATCTCTATTTTTCTTTTTTTTTTACTTATCTAATTACTCCTCTTTTTTTCTTTCCTTCTTTCCTTTTTGTCAAACTTATTTATTTACCGTTTCCCCATCCAATTACTTTTCTATTTTTCTTTCTTTCCCTGCCTTCTTTAAACTTATTTATTTACCGTTTCCCCATCCATTCTCATTTTTCTTTCTTTCTCTCCCTTCTTTAAACTTATTTATTTACCGTTTCCCCTTTTCCCTTCTTCTTTCTTCTTTTCCTTCTTTAACCTTATTTATTTACCGTTTCCCCTCTTCCCTCCATTTCCCTGCCTCCCTTTGGCGACAGCGGGTGGTAGCGGTAGGTCCTCCGAGTGTCTCCTGGTCGTCCACAGAGCCAAAGCGGACATGTTGTATCTGTTGTTTGGTTCCCTGAAGCGAGCAGCCCACACCTCGATCAACACTTACCCCCCTCCAGCGTGGTTTTGGGGTACAGAGAGAGTTTGTGGTTTATTATGGTTGGTTTGTGTTAATTTGGGGTTATCTTCTTTGTTTGTTTGTTTTTGTTTGGGGGATTTGAGGGGTGACTGGTCGTGTCACGAGAAAGAAAAGGGAAGAGCACGTAGGTGGCAACAGGTGTCTGTGCAGCGGACGGATGCCACATCTCGGCTGGATTTTTATTTCATTATTATTATTATTATTATCTTTCGTTGTTGACAAATTTTTTTTTTCTCTATTTTGAGACCAAGAATGTTTCCGGAAAATGGTGTGAATACATGTCGCATGATATTTATTGAGATGTTAAGAGCAATAAATAGAAAGTATAGAAATAAACTGCATAAGATCTCATATAAAGAGATATGTTTCGATATACATATCATTATATATTTGCATGCAAACATACATGCAGTCAATATACATATATATAATTATATATATATAATATATATATATATATATATATATATATATATATATATATATATATATATATATATATATATATACAAGGCACACATAAATTTAGAATGACCAATACATTTTTTATTTCACCTTCGCAATCTTCACTACTCGCGCCTCGTCCTTACAAGACATTGGTGTTTCATGAAAGAAAAAAAAAAAAGAAAAAAAAAACAGACAGAAAAATGAAATCTTACCACGTAAACACACCTGGGCCTGAGCTGTTGGCGAGAATCTCACCAAGGTCTATTTTCCCATTACATGTGCATCATAAAATGTACCTTATGAGTTCTCCCGAGCAGCTCAGACGCCAAAACTTTTTTTTTATTCTTTTTTTTATTATTATTAGAAAGCTCATGAGGAGCTTTTCCGAGGCTGGATATCTCTTTTTAATTTATTTTTTTTTCTTCTTGTCTCATCTCCTTTCCTCCTTCTTTCACTAGACACATGTATTTATATAAACCTTCTTTTTCTTGAAGGGAAAATAATGTTTATAGAGGACAGGTGTGTAACCTCCAAAGGTCCATTTAAAGTGAAATAAAAAAAGGGTGCCATTGGAAAATAATTTAGGCATACATAGGCCTACCAGTTGATTCTTCATAGGCCTACTGATTAAGGCTCAAATAATTTTTGTTTCCTTCTGTGACTGCCATCCCCTAAAAAAAAATATATATGGAAGATGAGAGAAAAAAATATATGTACATGCTGTAACTATGGCATTCGCTGTCCACCAAAAATCACCGAAAAGAAAGAGATATTTGTGGTGATGTTACTGGAACTTACAAGAATGAAGATATAAATTATT